TCTCCATTTCTAACCTGAAGAGCCGGCGTTGTCTGTAGACACCTCTTACGTTATGTGGCCAGCATGACTGCATGGAGCGCTGTTAACTTCTCGCAAAAGCGGTACCTATTGATCTACACATATTTGAATGTTTTCAAACTACTAGGTTGGCAGAAGCTGGGCCTAACAGTGGGAGCTCACCCCACTTCTCGGATTTGAACCATCAATCTTTTGGTCAGCAAGTTCAGCAGCTCAGCGGTTTAACCTGCTGCACCACCAGGGGCCCATTGGAGGACTGGTGGAAGGCCACAAAAATAGGAGCCAGGAGCATCTTGCAGGCCACACTATGCTCTCTCCTCTTTTACATCATAAACACTACCAATACTTTTATAACCCATTTCAAATTGCTACTAAATTTTTAAAAATGTATATAACACTATGTAACAAAATGTGGAAAAAAAATCTGTTCCTGGTTTGAAAGTATTATTTCCTGTTTAAGTGTACTTTGAACACAGTTGTTCTATTCCAGAAAATTTGTTTCTGTGGCTGCCACAAACTAGGTTGATTGGATTGTCGAAGGCTTTCATGGCCGGAATCACTGGGTTGTTGTAGGTTTTTCAGGCTATATGGCCATGTTCCAGAAGCATTCTCTCCTGACATTTCGCCTGCATCTATGGCAGGCATCCTCAGAGGTTGTGAGGACTATTGGAAACTAGGAACATTGAGTTTATATATCTGTGGAATGTCCAGGTTGAGAGAAATAACTCTTGTCTGTTGGAGGTAGGTGTGAATGTTTCAATTGGCCAGCTTGATTAGCATTTGATGGCCTGACAGTTTTTAGGTGTGGCTTGTTACTGCCTGGGGGAATCCCTTGTTGAGAGGTGATTAATGTAATACAATATATTGTATATACATACATATAATATTTATAATATTATAATGTAATGCAATATATACTAATAATAATATATTATAATTATATATTTATATTACGTGTAATATTACTAATAATATTACAATATATAGTACAATAATAATAATAATAATAATAATAATAATAATAATAATAATCTTTATTTAATACCCCACCACCATCTCCCCAATGGGGACACAGGGAGGCTTACATGAGCCCAAGCCCAACAGCACATTACAATAAAGTAAAACCAAAACACAATAACAACACAGTAAAATACATACAACATATGAGTACAAAACGATAAAGCAAAATCATACACAGTAAAATAAAATAACATAACATAACAATGAGCGGGCCGCATGTGCAAGATAAAAACGAAGATACTAACAATACTAAAGTCACAAATATTACAATATAGTAATATTTAATACTGATATTGCAGTATGCTAATAACATAATATATTGTATGTATATATATATCTTGTAAGCCGCTCTGAGTCCCCTTCGGGGTGAGAAGGGCGGCATATAAATGTCGTAAATAAGTAAATAAATAAATAAGCTGGTCTTGATAGTTTCCTGTCTGGAATTCCCCTGTTTTTTGAGTGTTGCTCTTTATTTACTGATTTTTTAGTATTGCTCTTTATTTACTGATTTTAGAGTTTTTAAATAGTGGTAGCCCGATTTTGTTCATTTTCATGGTTTCAGGGGAATTGCAGGGCCTGATAACACCTCCCAACAAATACCCCCAGGCAGTAAGCAGCCAAGCTTTGAAGCTGCAAGTCTATTCAATGCTAATCAAGACGGCCAACTGCAACATTCACACTTGCCTCAAGCAGACAAGCGTTCCTTGTCCCACCATGGACATTATTCCATATATATATGGAAGGAAGGCTGAGCAAAGGAAGATAGATGCTTTTGAACTGTGGTGTTGGAGGAAAGTTCTGAGAGTGCCTTGGACCGCAAGAAGATCCAACCAGTCCATCCTCCAGGAAATAAAGCCTGACTGCTCATTGGAGAGAAGTATACTAGAGACAAAGTTGAAGTACTTTGGCCACATCATGAGGAGACAGCAAAGCCTAGAGAAGACAATTATGCTGGGGAAAGTGGAAGGTAAAAGGAAGAGGGGCCGACCAAGGGCAAGATGGATGGATGGCATCCTTGAAGTGACTGGACTGACCTTGAAGGAGCTGGGGGTGGTGACGGCCGACAGGGAGCTCTTGCGTGGGCTGGTCCATGAGGTCACGAAGAGTCGGTGACGACTGAACGAACGAACAACAACATATATATATAAACCCCATTTTCCTAGTTTCCAACAGACCTCACAACCTCTGAGGATGCCTTCTTTAGATGTGGGCAAAAAGTCAGGAGAGAATGCTTCTGGAACATGGTGAGACAGCCCAGAAAACTCACCGCAACCAAGGGATTCCGGCCATGAAAGCCTTCGAGAACACACCTTCTCAGTGTGGTCTACATTGCTGAGTTTAGGTTAAGAATCTCGCAGTCTGCATGAAAGGGTTCAATGTAACCTGTGAAGTCTTCTGTATCTCAAATTTCTGAACCTTTGGCATGCAACATGTTTCAGCTGGGAAAATCTATTGTTCAGCCCCAGAAACATCACTCTATTGCAAAATCGCTTTGAGTCCCCCCAGGGGTGAGAAAGGAGGAATATAAATACTGTAAATAAATGAATAAATAAATTGTGAAAAGCTGCAGCAGCATGGTATAGGCCAGGCATGGGCCAACCTAGGCCCTCCAGGTGTTTTGGACTTCAACTCCCACAATTCCTAATAGCCTCAGGCCCCTTCCTTTCCCCACTCAGTCGCTTAAAGATGGCATATAGATGGCATCTGACACCACAAAAATTTGGAAAGTATTACAAAAAAGCAAACGCAAGATGTTGGAAATGCAAGGAAATAGAGGGTTCATACTTCCATATGTGGTGGACGTGCAATAAAACCAAAAATTATTGGAAAAAAAATTCAGAAAAATATTCAAGAAATTTTACATATAAAAATTCCATTAAGACCGGAAAACTTTCTACTGGGGATACATGAACAAAAAATAGATTCAAACAAAGATAAATTACCGTATATACTCAAGTATAAGCCGACCCAACTATAAGCCGAGGCACCTAACTTTACGACAAAAAACTGGGAAAACATATTGACTCAAGTATAAGCCGAGGGTGGGAAATGCAGCCATTACTGGTAAATTTCAAAATAAAAATAGATACCAATAAAATTACATTAATTGAGCCATCAGGAGGTGAAATGTTTTTGAATATTTACATAAAACTGTAATTTGAGATAAGACTGGCCAACTCTGATTAAATAATTATTCTAACCTTGTTCAATGTAAATGTACTTATGTATCCTTCCAACAATAATAAAGAGAGTAAAATAATAAACGTAATAATAATAATAATAATAAAAGTAAAATAATGGAAATGCAATAATAACAGTAACAATAAAGTAAAATATTAAATGTAATAATAGAGTAAAATGATAAATGAAATACTAATAAAGTAAAATAATAAATCTAATAATAATCATAAATAGTGTAAAATAATTATAATAATAATAATAATAGAGTAACATACTGTAAATGTAATAATAATAGAGTAAAATAATACATGAAATAAAAATAATACTAATAACAGAGTAAAATAATAAAAAACCTTGACTCGAGTATAAGCCATGGGGAGCTTTTTCAGCCTAAAAAGGGGGCTGAAAAACTAGGCTTATACTCGAGTATATACAGTATTATTTCTATTAACTACCGCTACGCAAGATTATGGAAAAAAGGAAGAGATAACCGAAGAGGAAGACTGGATGATAAAAATTCAAGATATAAGAAATATGGATAAATTAACATTCCTGTCCTCAAAAAATAATGGAAAATTAAAAAAGAAATAAGAAAGAAATATTGATATGAGAAGAAAAAGAAAAAAAAGGGGGAGAGGAAAGAAGAGAAGAAAGGAAAGAAGAAGAAAAGGGAAAAGGAGGGAGAAAAAGAAGAAAAAGGACGTGAGAAGAAGAAGGGAAAAAAATGGAAATAGAAAGAAAAGGAGAGAACCTCAATAAAGATACCCGGGAGTCAAAACATCAAACCACTATTTTTATTTTTATTTTTCTTTGGTCCGTTTGTTTTGTTTTTGTGGGAGGTTTTTTTTTGGGGGGGGGGCATCTTTTTCTCAATTTCCTATTCTGTCTTTAGGACACGCCATTTTTTCTATGTATATATATATATCTATATAAATAAAAATGTAATGTTCGTTTGTGGTATTCACAGAACTCAAAAACCACTTCCTTTCCTTCTTTCTATGCAAGATATAAATACTATTTTATATATTGTTATATGGATTACTATATAATATGTTACTATTATATATTACTACATAGTACAAATTAAATATACTTACAGAATAGAGTTGGAAGGGACAGTCAAGAAGTAACGAGAGAAGGAGGGAAAGAGGGAAGGAATGAAGGCGGGAAAGGGAGAAAGAGAGAAGGAGGGAGGGAAAGAAGGAAGGAAAGAAAAAAAGGTAGAGAAGCAAGAAAGGAGAGAAGGAAATAAAAAAGTGAAAGGAAAAATACAGGGAAGGAAGGATGTAACCACAGGGCAAACAAAGGGAGGAAAGAAACAGGTAGAGATGGAAGAAAGAAGAAGATAAATAGGAAGGGAAAGAAAAAGAGGAAAGGAAGGAGAGAAAGAGGGAGGGAAGGTTGGCCACAGCAACGCGTGGCAGGTACAGCTAGTATATATATAAATATATATATTTGTTTATATCTCTCTTTCTCGTACTTTTTCTATCTTTTCTTAATTGCTCTTAATTGTTTTTATGGAAAATTCTCAATAAAGATTATTTTTTAAAAAAAGCAGCCAAGGGGGGAAAGGAAGGGGCCTGAGGCTGTTAGGAATTCTGGGAGTTAAAATCCAATACACTTGGAGGGCCAAAGTTGGCCCATGCCTGGTATAGCCCATGCGGAGTTGGATGGTGTCCGAAAACAGCCCAGCTCCAGAGCAAACCCATTCCCGCATGAAAGCACTAGTTCCCAAATGATCTGTGATGGAAATAATTTCTAACAATAGTCCTTCTTCTCACCTGAGCCAATGCGCGCCCTGGACATGGTCGGCGAGTCTATTTTGTGTGCTGGTACCGTCAGATAGTTGTTGATCTGGAATCAGAAACAAGTCCGGCATTTACAAAAGGCTCTTCAACATCCATGCAATGCAGCTGTTTGCTCTGCGGTTTCCCAAATTCGGACTACATTCCCCAAAGCTATCCGCATTCTTTTTGATCTAAGTCCGAGACTTCTCGTCGCCCACCTTCTGCTCCAGCTGCCGTGCCTTCTGCCTCCTCAGCAACATCTGGTTCCAGGCTTCCTCATAAGGATCCGCCACCAAGGTGTGCCGGTTATATGACCGTAACTAGAACGAAACACAAACAGATTAGACGTGCATGGCAAGAGCAAACACATACAGATGCACAAAAACTCACCTGCCATTTAAGGCCGATCTCAAGGGAGTGAAATGCAAATAACATCTGGAAAAGCAGCAACAATGAGTTGGAAAAAGGAGGCAGGTATAATAGATGCAATGTTCAAACCCACCAGATGTTGGGAGATTCAAACTCTTATTATATATATTATATGCAGTGTTATATTATATTATATTATATTACATGTCATATTACTAATAATATTCCAGTATAGTGGTATAGTACAATATAATAGTATTTAATACTAATATTTTGCTATGGTAACAATATAATATATTGTATGTATATATATTGATCATAATAATGTAATACTAATAATAATACAATAGAATCATATATTATATATCACATGTAATATTACTGATAATTGTATAGTAGGTAGTACCCTGACATTAAGTCCAGTCATGTCTGACTCTGGGGTGTGGTGCTCACCTCCATTTCTAAGCCAAAGAGCCAGCGTTGTCCGTAGACACCTCCAAGGTCATGTGGCTGGCATGAATGCATGGAGCACCGTTACCTTCCCGCCGGAGTGGTACCTATTGATCTACTCACATTTGCATGTTTTCGAACTGCTAGGTTGGCAGAAGCTAGGGCTGACAGCGGAAGCTCACACCGCTCCCTGGAATCAAACCTGCGACCTTTCGATCAACAAGCTCAGCAGCTCAGTGCTTTAACCCACTGCACCACCAGGGGCCCATAATAATTGTATAGTATAGTATAATATCTATATAAATATTGTGTAGTATAATATCTATATAAATAAAAATGTAATGTTCGTTTGTGGGATTAAGATAACTCAAAAACCACTGGACAAATTGACACCAAATTTGGACACAAGACACCTATCAGGCCAACGAGTGACCACCACTCATAAAAACACTGAAAAGAACAGTGAAAGAGGCTTAAAAACCACAAAAATAAAAAATACATTACAATGCATGCACAAACCCACATATATACATATACACAAATATATACATACACATGTATGCATATATACACACACGAACACATATACACAGACTGGGCCACAGCAACGCGTGGCAAGGGATGGCTAGTCTATATAAATAAAAATGTAATGTTAGTTTGTGGGATTAACATAACTTGAAAACCACTGGACGAATTGACACCAAATTTGGACACAATATACCTGTCAGGCCAACGAGTGACAATTACTCATAAAAACACTGAAAAACACAGCGGAGGAGGCTTAAAAAGCCAAAAAACAAAAAATACATTACAACACATGCACAGAACCACATATATATACGCAAACACACATATATATACATGTACAGAAATAAATACACAGGGTGGGCAACAGCAATGCGTGGTAGGGGACAGCTAGTAGCAATAAATAATACTAATATTGTGCTATGCTAATAGTATAATATATTGTACATATATATAATATTGATCTTAATATTTTAACACAATATAATACTAATAATAATACAATATAATATAATTATATATTATATATCACATGTAATACTACTAATAATATTTCAATATAATTGTATAGCATAATATAGTCATATATAATACTAATATTGTGCTATGTTAATAGTATAATATATTGTTCATACATATAATATTGATCATAACATTGTAATATAATGCGAATAATAATACAATATATTTATATAATAATATATTATATATTACATGTACTAATAATATTGCACTATAGTGGTACACTACAATACAGTAACATATATTACTGATATTGTGCTATGCTAATAATATATTGGATTTTTTAATTTATTTTTTGGTCGTGTCAGGAGCAAGTCGCTTCTGGTGTGAGAGAATTGGCCATCTGCAAGAACGTTGCCCAGGGGACACCTGGATGATTTGATGTTTTTATCATCCTTGTGGGAGGCTTCTCTCATGTCCCCGCATGAGGAGCTGGAGCTGATAGAGGGAGCTCATCCGCCTCTCCCCGGATTCGAACCTGCAACCTGTCGGTCTTCAGTCCTGCCGGCACAGGGGTTTAACCCACTGCGCCACCGGGGGCTCCAATATATTGGATGTACATATAATATTGATCATAGTATTGTAATACAATATAATATTAATAATAATACAATATAATAATATAATTATATATGGCATGTAATATTACTAATAATATTGCAGTATAGTGGTACAGTACAATATAGAAATATATAATACTAATATTGTGCTGTGCTAATAATATAATATATTGTATATACATATAACTTGTAAGCCACTCTGAGTCCCCTTTGGGTTGAGAAGGGTGGGATATAAATGTTGTAAGCAAGTAAATAAATAAATCCACCACTGAAATGGGGACAGTCAATGGAGACAGTTGCTACTCTTTTTCTTTTAGGCTGCACAGATCAAGAGGTCAATATTAAGTGCATGAGTTTCTGTGGTCCGTGCTTTACTGATGTTGTCATTTGGGCTGTCATTGCTCCATACACAAAGGTTGATCTCTCCTATCTAGTGACCTTTAAGGTCCATCAACCTGTCCAATTACTGCTCATCTTCTAGTCAGCTGGTCATCCAAGCGGAAAACCTCTGGGCTCCATGAATGTGTCATTACTAGCTGCAAATTTGTTGAAGCGATGAAAATTGAAAACAACATCTGGAGCAGTGTTTCTCAACCTGGGGGTTGGGACCCCTGGGGGGGTCGTGAGGGGATGTCAGAGGGGTCACTAAAGAACATCATAAAATGCAGTATTTTCTGTTGGTCATGGGGATTTTGTGTGGGAAGTTTGGCCAATTCTATCAGTGGTGGGGTTCAGAATGCTCTTTGATTGTAGGTGAACTATAAATCCCAGCAACTACAACTCCCAAATGTCAAGGTCTCTTTCCCCCTAACTCCACCAGTGTTTACGTTTGGACATATTGAGTATTTGTGTCAAGTTTGGTCCCTATCCATCATTGATTGAGTCCACGGTGCTGTCTGGAAATAGGTGAACTACAACTCCAAAAATCAAGGACGATGCCCAGCAAACCCTTCCAGTATTTTCTGTTGGTCATGGAGGTTCTGTGTGCCAAGTTGGTTTAATTCCATTGTTGGTAGAGTTCAGAATGCTCTTTGTAAAGGTAAAGGTAAAGGTAGTCCCCTGACATTAAGTCCAGTCATGTCTGACTCTGGGGTGTGGTGCTCATCTCCATTTCTAAGCCAAAGAGCCAGCGCTGTCCGTAGACACCTCCAAGGTCATGTGGCCGGCATGACTGCATGGAGCGCCGTTACCTTCCCGCCGGAGCGGTACCTATTGATCTACTCACATTTGCATGTTTTTGAACTGCTAGGTTGGCAGAAGCTAGGGCTGACAGCGGAAGCTTATGCCGCTCCCCGGAATCGAACCTGCGACCTTTCGATCAACAAGCTCAGCAGCTCAGTGCTTTAACCCACTGTGCCACCGGAGGATGAACTACAAATCCAAGCAACTGACAAAATCAATCCCTCCCAACCTCAGCAGTATTTAAGTTTGGGCGTATGGGGTATTTGTGCCAAATGTGGTCCAGTGAATGAAAATACATCCTGCATATTGGATATTTACAATTCACAACAGTAGCAAAATTACAGTTACGAAGTAGAAACTAAAATAATTTTATGATTGGGGGTCACCACAACATGAGGAACTGGATTAAGGGGTCACGGCATTAGGAAGGTTGAGAACCACTGATCTGGAGTAATACATGTTTCCCATCCTTGACATTTGTCTTAGCAACAAATCAATTATCCATTTGCCTTATCATAGGCCAAGATTGCCTGTTAAGTCACATATTTCTGTTTGGTTGTCAGAATTAGACTCTATATAGATGGGGAAGAGCATGTTGCCAGTAGGAACACTGGAAATACTTTGATCTACCCAGTTTTTCCAAACCATAGGAGTAATGAGGTCCTTGCCTTACCCTCTGCCTAGTTTTTTGCAAATTGGTGCGCAGGATCTTCCTGATCTCTTCCTCCTTGTCCTTCGAGAGAGCTGGCAAGATGCGCTCCACAGGCAAGGTTTTGGGGCTGATATTCCTGCAAGATTCAGAGAACAGCAGCAGGTCACATTAGACAGTAAGTTTAAGCAGAGCCAGAATACCGATCTTCTATGTTCTTGGTACTCACTGCATGGAGACTGTGGAGACAGCAGAGGGAATCTTGCCCATTCCCCCACTTTCCACCAACTCTATGGCTTGTTTCATCTCCATCTTGTGATAAAAGGCAATTAGTTGGGGCTCTTTTGATCTTTCCCCGGCAATGAGGCACTTCTTCACGTACTTCTTATTGAAGCGGTTCAACCTTTGTAAAAGGAAGGTGATGGTGGGGGAGCAGAAAATATGGTATTAATATTATCATGATTATTAGTACAGTAGAGTCTCACTTATCCAACCTTCGCTCATCCAACATTCTGTATTATCCAACACAGTGTGCCACTCACCCAGATCCACAGCTGTTTCAATATATTGTGATGTTTTGGTGCTAAATTCATAAATACAATTATTACGACATAACGTTACCGTGTATTAAACTGCTTTTTCTGTCATTTTGTTGTAAAACATGATGTTTTGGTGCTTAATTTGTAAAATCATAACGTAATTTGATGTTGAATAGTCTTTTCCTTAATCCCTCCTTATTATCCAACATTTTCGCTTATCCAACATTCTTGGATAAGCGAGACTCTACTGTACTACTTCTACAGATGTCCCTGTGCAGTTTGAGGATATTGCCCCCCCCCTCTATATGAGGGGTATTTTTAAAGTAAGGTCCGTTTTGTTGTAGACACTAGTAGTTAGCGCGCATACCGCAACGAGTGCGTGCGTCGTGTACCGGCATGCCTCGGGAACAACTGTGCTCAGTTTCCGCTCTGTAGCTAACCTGTACGGTTCTGTTCTGTGCTTTAAAAATGTTTAAGACTATCAACTCACCCTCCGCATGTGAGGTTCGCTCAGTGATACGGTTTTTGTCAGCAAGGAACCTGCCTGCTGCAGAAATTCATCGACAGATTTGTGAAGTGTACTGTGATACTGTTATGAGTGAAAGCAAAGTGCGTAAGTGGGTACGACAATTCAAAGATGGCCGTGACAACGTCCATGATGAGGACCGCTCCGTGCCCTTCTTTGATTACAGTGAACTCTTGGTTATGGGAGGAGGCGGCAAGTTTTTATGAAGAGGGTATTTTAAAATTGGTTCAGAGGTATGATAAGTGTTTGAACAAACTTGGCAACTATGTCGAAAAATAGAGTGAAGTATGTACTTTCTGAAAATAAATTTACTTTTTTGAAATAAACTTTCGTTGTGTACTTATGTTCAAAGGACCTTACTTAAAAAAATACCCCTCGTATATATAATGTTTATTAAGTTATTAAGTGTACATGAATAATAAAGGAAAAGAAAGAAAAAAAAAGAAAAAGAAACACAAAATATAACAAATAACAAAGATAATAAAAAAAAGAAACTTGACCCAACCAAATATTTTCTTTAGGAATTGCTAGTATGATTCTATGGTCACCTTCTAGTGGAAGTTGACCATAGAATCATGCTGGAGATGCCTAGAAATTCTTAGAAATTTGCACTAAATAAAAAATAAACATATTTCTATGCATGGATTTTTCACTTTTGCAGGTGTCCTATACCACTAATCCCAGCTAAAATGAAGGGTTGATTCATTATAATCATTATCATCATCTTTATTTATATTCTGCCCGAGCACCTAACAGTTAAGCCTAACTTACTGTCCACCTAAGCAGTTTGAAAACAGCTGAGCTGTGAGTAGAGAAATTAAGGACCGCTTAAAGCGGGAAGGTATTTTACGACACCATAAAAATGCTGGTGAGCAAGGAGGAAATACGATCAAAAATGACTCTGTGTCATGGTGAATGAAGCGACAGCACCCTCCGTGGCCAGAATCAAGCATAACCTCCAAGCATTGAAGTTGAAATGCCAAATATACCTCTCTGTCTGTCTGTCTGTATATCTAAAAACAGCATTGAATGTTTGCCATGTATGTGTGCATTGTGTCCCCTTCGGGGTGAGAAGGGCAGAATATAAATACTGTAACCAAATAAATAAACGATAAGAATAAAAAAATATACAAAAAGTCAATATTCAGACTGAATTGAACTATTAGCCATGTTAAAAATACACACATTGTAAAAATGATTTCTAAAATATAGTTCAATTTGAAATCAATACAACTCTTTTGTTAAAAGACTGTAAAGGTTTAGCTGAATAAAAAAAAACATCTTTGTCTGCTGACAGAGACTAGGAAAAGGACAGCAAGGAAAGGAGACATATTCTTACTTGTCTTTCCAGTGATGGTGACCATAGTGGCCACATATATCTTCAATCCCAGTTAGAAGGTGATCCAAGAACTATTTAAATAGAAGAAATGTACATTTACTAGACACATTCAGAAGAAGACATAGAAGCCATTCTAGAAGCCTACAAGAAGCTTGGCCTCTCATTAAACATCAAGAAAACCAAAGTGCTCTTCCAGCAGTCACCAGTCAATCCCTCTCCAATGCCAGAAATACAGCTTAAAGGTGTAACATTAGAAAATGTTGACCATTTCTGCTCCCTTGGCAGCCACCTCTCCACAAAAGTCAACATTGACACTGAAATACAACACTGCCTGAGCTCTGCATGTGCAGCATTCTTCCGAATGAAGCAGAGAGTGTTTGGGGAGCGGGACATCCATAGGGAGACCAAGGTACTTGTTTATAAAGCTACTAGCTGTACCCGCCACGCGTTGCTGTGGCCAACCTTCCCTCCCTCTTTGTCTCCTTCTTTCTTTGGGGGGAGATGTAGTGCATGCACACACACACACACACACAAACACACATACACATATGGGTGTGGATAATATGGTAATGTCTATGTTGAAAGGAAGTTGTGGACAATACCTACATGGATGTTAATTTTACTATATTTCCCCTCAAATACACACAGTCATGCAGGAAATAAGTGGCTCTGCTGGAGTGCATGTCTTGAGGGGTTATTGTGGGGATGATCTTGCATGCGCATTAATTCCACTATATTTTCACAACTCCACACTCACTGTTGCTCTGCCAACATGTTTATGTTGCCAAGTTATAAAATATAGATAGACAGAATGATTTTCAATTCATATAGCAGTTCAAAAACATGCAAATGTGAGTAGAGCAATAGGTACCACTCTGGCAGGAAGGTAAGGGCGCTCCATGCAGTCATGCCAGTGGCCACATGACTTTGGAGATGTCTACAGACAACGGCGTCTCTTCAGCTAAAAAATGGAGAATCCCAGAGTTGGGCATGACTGGATTTAATGTCAGGGGAAAACCCTTAGCTTTATACACGCACACACACAGTGTGGATATGCTATTGTGTGTTTTGTTTTGTGAACAAATGGTGGGACTATAGATATCGGATGCTACCTTCCCAACTGTCCTCCCTCCCTGACAGGGGCAGACCCCCCTCATTGGTCGGGCTCTGCCCCCCCCCCCCCCCCCCCCAAGCAGAGAGAAGAAAAGGGAGAGAGAGAGAAGGCAGGGAGAGAAGGAAAGAGAAGGAAAGAGGCAGGAGAAGGAGGAATGAGAAGGAGAGGAAGCTGCTGGGAGGAAGGAGGAGGGCTTGCAAGGATTGCGGGGAGATTCCTTCCCCCCCCCCCCCTCTCACACACAACCATCAGAGCGAAATGCCTCTTTTGCGCCTGCTTGCCTCACCTTTAAAAGAAAAAGCAAAGGGCAAGGGGAAGGCGAAGTTGTGTGTATGTGTGTGGCCATGTGTGCGGGATAGGCTCCCGAGTAGGCTGCCATGAGGGAGGGAGCTGCTTGGTGCCGCTCACTGTGCCAGTTGTTTGTATGGCCATGCATGCGCATGCTCTTGGCTCTCAATGCTATAAGGGCCGCTCTTCCCTTGTGTGGATTTTTGGGGTTTCTGCTGTTTCTTTGGGGGTTTTTTTGAGTGGAGGACATAAATTGGACTGTTAGGTGTCTTGTGTCCAAATTTGGTGTCAATTCCCCCAGTGGTTTTTGAGTTCTGATGGTAGCACAAACGAACATTACATTTTTATTTATATAGATTGTCCTCCCAACCCTGCTATACACCTGCAAAACGTGGACTGTCTACAGATGTCACACTGAACTCCTTGAAACAATTCTATCAGTGTTGCCTCCAAAAGATCCTGCAAATCTCTTGGGAAGACAGGTGGACAAAGGTCAGCATGCAGAAAGAAGCAAAGACCACCAGCATTGAAGCGATGCTCCAACGCCATCAACTCCGCTGGACTGGCCATGTTGTCTGAATGCCCAATCACCATCTCCCAAAGCAATTACTATACTCCCAACTCAAGAACAGAAAACATAACGTTGGTGGACAGGAAAAGAAATTTAAAGATGGGCTTAAAGCCAACCTTAAAAACTGTGGCATAGACACCGAGAACTGGGAAGCCATGGCCCTTGAGCGTTCTAACTGGAGGTCAGCTATGACCAGTAGTGCTGCAGAATTTGAAGAGGCATGAATGGAGGAAGAAAGGGAGAAATGTGCCAAGAGAAAGACACATCAAGCCAACCCTGACCGGGACCATCTTACATCTGGAAACTGATGTCCTCACTGCCGAAGGAGGATCAAGAATAGGTTTCCACAGCCACCTACGTATCCACCGCCAAGACACTAAACTTGGAGAGCCAGCATCCTTGGGCTACAAGGGATTGCCTTGTGACACTCAGCTGTGTTCTAGAAGCTAGATGTTGGTGTTTCCCACCTGATAGGCATTTCCTTGTAGCTAACAGTCAAAGAAACTGTAGTTTTTTATTTTAAAAAAATTATTATTATGATGTTTTTAAATAAATCAAACCATACAATTTACCAGTTTGGACACAAAGTGGCAGGAAAGGCATAACAAATGCATATACAATGACTTCACTAAGGCTGAAAAATCCACTAATTTGAAGACCACTGTGAAATTATTGCATGAATTACAATGGAGTTTTTACTGGGACCAATAGTTAAGGCTATTTTTCTTTCTTTCTAATGATTACAAGGAAACTGCCGCCTTTTATCATTAACAAACAATGATACTAAGATTTGTTGATATTTTAAAACACGTTTCTTGAAAAAAAAAAGTATGAATGAATACATTTTGTATTAGGTTTTGCATTCATGTATGCTTTCCGGAATGGCTTCCAAGCATCACAACATTCAAAAACATGCAATCTGGAGCATTTCAACCCACCATGTGAAAATGAATGATCATTGCCCAACAATCGGCAAATGTCTTCCTGTATTCCCAGCTGTACTGTGTCTCTTTTTCAAATCTCAATCCCATCTAAATATTCCATATCCAGAAAAGGGACTATAGTTTGTAGTTCAGTGTAGTGCCAATGTAGGCCCAATGGTGGCACACGAGCCTTGTTTCAAAGACTATTGTATTGAAAGCAATCATTATGTCTTTGGAATATAACAGAGATGTACACTTATGTGTAAAACTTCAGACTGTTATTAACTGTTATCTTTCTTTTTACAACCCCTTTACAAATTATTTCCAACACTCTGATATATGTCTCATGATTGCTCTTTTGTGTCTTCCAGCTGACTCAGACTTATGGAGAGTTTGTTCACTGAGGACTGCAGTGAAGCGGTGCAAACGTGCATGTGCAAGAACTGAGAGGCAGAGAAAGAGGTACGGTAATAGGAAAATTACCATATTGAAATCAAATCTGATGTTTTAAAAAAATGTTATTTGGTGTTCATTGGAAGAGGAATAGTCTTATACGGCGAGTATATCCCAAACGCTACATTTTAACTGGAAAAGTTGGGGGTCATCTTATACGCCCAATCGTCTTATACACCGGAAAATACAGTAATTATCTATCTATCCACCCACCCATCCTTTTTTAAAAAAAATTATTGAGTTTTCTTACAATCGTATGATTAAAAGAAGGGGGTTTTAGGATTGAAGGTAGGGTAAAATAGGGGAGGGAAATAGCGAAGACGGGGTAAAAGAGGTCCGGTCCAGGACTAGTGTTGGATGTGAAAGGGATTGCTTGGGTTAGGAAAAGAAGAAGGGGATCTGGGGAGGGAGGGAAAGGAGGGGTGTGAAGATTGTGAAAAAGGTTTTTGACTTCCTCAATCTTCTTCTCTCTGGTTCCATATTTTTACATCTTTCTTTCTTCTGGAATTGCTTTTTCCTCTTCTTTTGTGTCTTGTCTAGCTTTGTGTACTGAGAGATATTCCTCACATAGCTTCCAGTCTGTTTTTTTCATTGGTCTTCCATATGAGTCCTTTAGTGCAAAGGTTAGTTTATCCATATCTTTGATTTCAATAATTTTGTTTAACCATTCTTCCTTAGTGGCTACTTCTCTCTGTTTCCACTTTTTTGCCAAAACTATTTTTGCTGCGGTGATACAATAATTAAACAAAATGTCATTATTCTGGTCAAGTTCCATTTCTTCATCTATTATCCCCAATAGAAAATATTCCGGTTTCATCTGAATTTTTATTTTTAAGATCTTCTCACATTCTTGTTGTATCATTTTCCAAAATGTGCTAACCACTGGGCAGGTCCACCACGCATGATAGAAAGTTCCTATTTGTGATTCGCATTTCCAGCATTTGTTTCTGACATTGCCATACATTATACCTCGTTTTTGTGGCGTCATATACCACCGATAAAATATTTTAAACCAATTTTCTTGTAAGTCCGTCGAATAAGTGTATTTGATCTTTTTAGTCCAAATTTGTTCTCATTCTTTATATTGTATCTGTCTGCCGATATTCTTTGCCCATTTAATCATGCACTCTTTTATTACTTCTGTTTCAGTAGTCCACTCTAATAGCTTATTATAAATTATTGTTATATATTTTTCTTTTTTCTCAGAATTTGATCCCATATGTCTTCTTTTCCCATAAAGCCTAATTTTTTATCTAAGTCAGGGGTCCTCAAACTAAGGCCCGGGGGCCGGATGCGGCCCTCCAAGGTCATTTACCCAGCCCTCGCTCAGGGTTAACCTAAGTCTGAAACGACTTGAAAGCACATAACAACAACAACAATCCTATCTCATCAACCAAAAGCAGGCCCACATTTCCCATTGAAATACTAATAAGTTTATATTTGTTAAAATTGTTCTTCATTTTAATTATTGTATTGTTTTTAAGTGTTTTTTGCACTACAAATAAGATATGTGCAGCGTGCATAGGAATTCATGTTTTATTTTTCAAATTATAATCCGGCCCTCCAACAGTTTGAGGGACTGTGACCTGGCCCTCTGCTTAAAAAGTTTGTGGACCCCTGATCTAAGTTATAGTATTCTTTAAGTTGCAGATATTGATACCACGATACATTTGCAAATTGATTATTTATCTCTTCTCTTGTCTTCAGTTGTAATTCGTTACCTTTCTTCAATAATACCTCTTTGTATGTCAGCCATTTAGACCATCCTAATAATCTTCTTTGCCTTGCTTCTAATGGTGATGCCCATAATGGTGTCTTTGGATACATATTTGTTCTATATTTGTTCCAAATTTTTATTAATGCTGCCCTAATGAAATGATTATTGCAGTTTTTTTTTTCTTTTAAGGTTTGGTTGTATCAAAGGTACGAATGCCAGCCGAGTCTCAAATCAAAGCCGTCTAATGTACCCACCCATCCTTTTTATTTGGAGGCCCTCACCCTTCTCCTAGAAGAGATCAAAAACCATTTTGTAAAATGTTTCAAAACTTTTTTTGCCCTGAAATGCTCTAAACGTCCACTAGGAAGCATGGGGTCGCACACACAGGAGCAGTCACTCACCACCAAGGTGAACAGATGCCTCACCTGAGTGTGGATTTCCTCATTGATGGACCGCTTGGTCTCTTGCTTTTTTTTCACGGCCAGAAGGTCCACCAAAGGACGGATGGTCATGCCCTGCAAAAAGATAAGCCTGGTTACATTCAGCAGGCCCTTTAATGCCCAATGACGTGTGTTTGGATAAATGCAACCTGAGTCCTCCAGCCAGCTGCACTTGAGACAGCATCCTTTCTGATTTCTTTCCCCCGATCCTCAGAAAGCCAGCAAAATGGCTGAGCTCGACAATTAATAAGGTCTCGGGGTGAGAATGGGACTCACTGCCTACTTCATTTCCCCATTTCTAGGCATTAACGACGCCACCAGATAAATCAATAGGAGAAATATCCAAGAAAAGTCAATAATAATATTGCATACATAAGCAGGGCTACAAGACTGAAAATATAATGGTGTAAATATAATGGTTGCATGGAAGTGAGAGTTTCAATCAATGATGCTTGTCATACCACCAGCTAATCCCCATTTAACACAACTATTAAGGGGACAGGCGCCATGTCAGTTTTCTTGCTGGTAACCCTATACATCAGTACTTCTCAACCTTGGGTCCCCAGATGTTTTTGGCCTACAACTCCCAGAAATCCCAGCCAGTTTACCAGCTGTTAGGATTTCTGGGAATTGTAGACCAAAAACATCTGGGGACCCCAGGTTGAGAACCACTGCTATACATAAACCTCTATCTATCTTAATGTCCACCCATATGACATACAGATGATATAAGGCAATTGCTGCAAAACAACAGGCTGATGTGACCGAGTCTTTAGCCCAGGTATGGGCAAACTTCAGCCCTCCAGGTGTTTTGGACCCCCAACTCCCACAATTCCTAACAGCCTTAGGAATTGTGGGAATTGAAGTCCAAAACACCTGAAGGGCTGAAGTTTGCCCATGCCTGCCTTAGCACTACCGTTGTCTCCTGGCCTTCTCCATTCCTGTCCAAAAGAGAGGTCCTGAAGTCCCACCTGCACAAAGACTGTGAAGAAGATGACCGTAATGATGGCCGTGAGAAACATCTCCCTCATGGGGAAATGCTCGTATTCGAGAAGGTAGCCCAGGGAGAAGGCGATGGCTCCTCTCAGGCCGCCATAGGCAATGATGAACTGGTCCTTCGGGGTCAACTTCACGATGCGGAATTTGTTGATGAACCAGGTCAGCCCCAGGACACCTGAAACAACCATATGGAAAGGATGGTGTAAAGATGAAGAGGGTTGGGAATTCCCTAGATGCCAAGACTGTATAGAAAGCAAGACTTGCTGTTGACCTTCCACATTTGCCGATTTGACTTTCTGTTTATTTACAGATTTGATTAAAACATTATCTCTGGGAATATCTAGGTCCCCCAAGATTCAACATTATGATCAACTTCCATTGCAGGTTGATCACAGTTATGCCAGAGAGTCTGGAAATTCATTCTCTATGAATTTCCAGGTGCTTTCTCTGAGAGCACCTCTCTAGAATCACTAGGTCCTCATGGAATCAAAGAGTTGGAAGAGACCTCATGGGCCATCCAGTCCAACCCCCTGCCAAGAAGCAGGAATATTGCATTCAAATCATGACCATCCAGCCCTGTTTCAAAGCTTCCAAAGGGGCAGAGAGTTCCACTGCTGAACGGCTCTCGCAGTCAGGAAGTTCTTCCTCATGTTCAGATGGAATCTCCTCTCTTGTAGTTTGAAGCCATTGTTCTGCGTCCTAGTCTCCAGGGAAGCAGAAAACAAGCTTGCTCCCTCCTCCTTGTGGCTTCCTCTCCCATATTAATACATGGCTATCATTATATCCTCTAGTGTATATAATGGTCAACATCCAGCAAAATGATGACAGAGCCATGCTGGAGAACTTAGGGTCCTAGACTCCTCCCTCAGGTAAGGAAAAAAACTTTAATCATGGTTTTTCACTTTCACAGGGGTCGTATGTCTTCAATCCCAGTGGATTCAAAATGGCGAAATTTCACCTAGACAAACAAGAAAGCACCACTAGATGTGGGAAGATGCTGCCATTTTGTTCCTATAGTACAGGTATGGGCAAACCCAGACCCAGAGGTTAGTTGCGGCCCTTTGGGCTCTTTTCTCAGGTCCTCTTGTCTCACCATCCTATCCTTTCTTTTTTCTCTTTCCTTCCTCCTCCCTTCCTTTCTCCTTACCTTCTACCCTTCCGTCCTTCCTCCCTTCCCTTTTGTCTTTTCTTCTTTCCCTTTTTCCTCCCTCCTTCCCTATCTTCCTCTTTCTCCTTCCATCCTTCCCTTCCACCCTTTCATCTATCCTACCTTCCTTCCCTTTTTCCCCCTCTCCCTTTCTCCTTACTTCCTCCCTCCCTTTTGTCTTTTCTTCCTTCCCTCTTTCTTCCCCCTTCCCTCTCTTCCTCTTTCTCCTTCCATCCTTCTCTTCCCCCTTTCATCCTTTCTTCCTTCCTTCTCTCCTCCGTCTCTCCATTTCTCCTTTCTTCTTTCCCTTTTGTCTTTTCTTCTTTCCCTCTTTCCTCCCTCCTTCCCTCTTTTCTCTTTCTCCTCCATCCTTCCCTTCCACCCTTTCCTCCATCCATCCTTCCTTCCTTCCCTCTTTCCTCCCTCTCCCTTTCTCCTTACTTCCTCCCACCCCTTTTGTCTTTCCTTCCTCCCCCTTCCATCTCTTCCTTTCTCCTTCCATCCTTCTCTCCCCCCTTTCATCCTTCCTTCCCTTTCCTACCTCTCTCCCTTTCTACTCCCTCCCTCCTTTTTTGTCTTTTCTTCCTTCCCTCTCTTCCTCTTTCTCCTTCCATCCTTCTCTTTCCCTTTCATCATTCCTTCCTTCCCTCTTTCTTCCCTCTCTCCTTTTCTTCTTCCTTCCTTTTTCTTTCCTTCCCTCTTTCCTCCCCCTTCCCTCTCTTCCTCCTTCCATCCTTCTCTTCCCCCTTTCATCCTTCCTTCCTTCCCTCCCTCTTTCCTCCCTCTCTCCCTTTCTCCTTACATCCTCCCTCCCCTTTTGTCTTTCCTTCCTTCCCTCTTTCCTCCTCCCTTCCCTCTCTTCCTCTTTCTCCTTCCATCCTTCCCTTCCTCCCTTTTGTCTTTCCTTCCTTCCCTCTTTCCTTCCTCCTTCCTTCCTTCCATCACCGAGCAGCCAGTCCTCCTAGCAGGGAGTGCTAGCATGCGGCCCCCAAGTTAGAAAGTTTGCCCAGGCCTGCTATAGTGTGACTGCACACTTCTGACACCATGTTGTCAAAACCATGAGAAGCTCCTTTTAAACAGACTGCTGTAGGCTGCTTTGAATAAAAGGCAGAGACTAGATATAACATCTCTCAATTTTGCTTTAGTTAACATTTCTCCAAATCAATTCCCCACCTTTGTTTTGTATCTGGTTGAAAGACTCTGGGCTCCCACCCACCTCACTCTGAAACTCACATGCATTTTTAATGTACTTTTGTTTGCCTAATGCACAGTTATTTGTGTGTTTGACCTAAGATGGCATTTTTTCCTCCGTTGACGAAAGCGTGTTTGCGCATACCGAAGTCAGCTATATCCATTTTTAGCCATTCACGCGCATGTAATTCGGCCTTTAAAGCTTCCTGCAAATTCTCAAAGCGAGAGGCAATGAAGAGCTGTAAAAAGGTTACTGTTATCAGAGCCCTTGAACCCGAGGCAATTACAAGGGCCGTTCATTAAAGATCTCCCCTGACCACTTCCTGTGGATTGATAGCAATGAAACTTGGCACAATTATGAGTCCTTCTCTCCATAAGTGCCACCTAGGGACACACACTTCTCCCATCTTGTTAAGCAACTGTAAACACCTTGGGGTTGTTGTAGGTTTTTTCGGGCTATATGGCCATATTCTAGAGGCATTCTCTCCTGACGTTTCCCCTGCATCTATGGCAAGCATCCTCAGAGGTAGTGAGGTCACTACCTCTGAGGATGCTTGCCACAGATGCAGGCGAAACGTCAGGAGAGAATGCCTCTAGAACATGGCCATATAGCCCAAAAAAACCTACAACAACCCAGTGATTCCGGCCATGAAAGCCTTCGACAATACATGTAAACACCTCACAGGTTGCTCCAATTGCCACATTGTGACTTCGGAAATCAGAGTCTCATCATCTGAGAAATGCCTGCATTTCAAAAATAACATCATTGTTGGAAAGAAGGGGAAGTCCGATGGTGCAAGGTCTGGTGAATAAGGGGGATGTGGGAGAATTTCGAAGCCACAGGAGCATGCTTCTTCCATTTGGGAAACAGGTCAGTTGTGAACTGGTGCATTGTCTTGCAAAAGGCGGACATCTTTGGTGAGCATGCCACATTGTCTCTTGGTTTTGATGGCCTCCCGCTATTTACGCAGCTGTGAAACCTAGTATCCTCCAGTGATCATGGTCCCCTTTGCTAGGAAATCCATCAATACTACTCTGTGCTGGTCCCAAAATACTGTGAGAATGACATTGCCTGCGAGAGTTGGGCATGTGCCATCTTTGGAGGTGGTGAGTCATGATGCTTCCATTGCATCGACTGGACTTTAGTCTCAGGATCAGAGTGATGGATCCAGCTTTCACCCTGTGGGATCAGTCTGTTGAAAAAGTCCTCCTGGTTTCCATGGCACATCATTGTCAATACAGCCTAAGAGCATTCGACTCGTTCCTGCTTCTAGAAAGGTGTAAGCAGCGGAGAGACCCAGTGAGCGGGTACCATATATATGTGAAGATGGTCTTGGAAGGTTTTTTCCATGGACCCTACAAAAATCTTGACATTTTGGGCTAGGTGGCGAATGGTGACGCAGAGATTTTCCAAAATGGCGACCTCCACTTGCTGGATGGTGTGTTCATCAACAGCAGAGTGGGGTCGCCCTGGAATTGGAGCTGATTGCACCAAAGTCCGACCACATTTGAACTCATGATGCCAGTCCTTGACTACATCATATGATGGGGGATCATCACCATAAACCTCTTCCATCTCATCAAACATCTCCTTTGGTGTGCGGCCTTTCAAGCAAAGGAACTTGAGGACTGCTCTGTATTCCACTGGGTCCATTCTCAAACCTCACACCACTTCAGCATCTGTACAATCAAGACCATTCTCAGTTCTGAGTTGTAAATTGGCACGTAATCTATAGAGACTTAGAGCATTACACATGTGCAGTTTCAGCGTCCTGTGATAAATAGAAGTGGAATTTACACTTCAGCTGACTGTCTGCAATTAGCCCTGCCTTTAAATCCTCCCTTCTGTGTAATTGCATTGCTCACTATCGAAAACCTAACTGTAGGGCCAGCTTCATACCGTAGATTATGTAAGTAATAACATGCATGTAATCTATCTTATTGGAATGTATATAATTACTTTATCATTATTGAATGTTTGCTTTAGGTGCCTTTTTGGCATATCTATTATGCGGCAAAAAAAAGCCAATGGGATTTTGGCCTGCATCAATAGGAGCATAGTGCCTAGATCCAGGGAAGTCATGCTACCCCTCTATTCTGCCTTGGTTAGACCACACCTGGAATATTGTGTCCTATTCTGGGCACCACAATTCAAGAGAGATATTGACAAGCTGGAATGTGTCCAGAGGAGGGCGACTAAAATGATCAAGGGTCTGCAGAACAAGCCCTATGAAGAGCGGCTTAAAGAGCTGGGCATGTTTAGCCTGAAGAAGAGAAGGCCAAGAGGAGATACGATAACCATGTAAAAATATGTGAGAGGAAGTCACAGGGAGGAGGGAGCAAGCTTGTTTTCTGCTTCCCTGGAGACTAGGACGCAAAACAATGGCTTCAAACTACAAGAGAGGAGATTCCATCTGAACATTAGGAATAACTTCCTGACTGTGAGAGCCGTTCAGCAGTGGAACTCTCTGCCTCGGAGTGTGGTGGAGGCTCCTTCTTTGGAAGCTTTTAAACAGAGGCTGGATGGTCATCTGTCAGGGGTGCTTTGAACACAATATTCCTGCTTCTAGGCAGGGGGTTGGACTGGATGGCCCATGAGGTCTCTTCCAACTCTTTGATTCTATGATGTAGTTTGTTATCACCCATTTAGGGATCTATTGTGAATCACACTCTCTTATGAAGAAGTTATAGAAATCCTGATGAAGGGGAAGTCCCCCGAAACAAGGCATCTCAACCCGGGGATCCTTGTCGGACAGTATTTTGAACTATATGGACATTATTTCGGACTTCAGTTTACTTTCTCAAGGACTATTCCAGTGTTTAATTCATCACTTCAAAGACTGTGTAATTATTTTCTTAATACTTATCATTTGTTGTGAGAGTTCAAACAAAAGAGTGAAGATACTCACCGCCATCATGAGTAAAAGGAATATATATCATTTGGGAGAGTGAATTTATAACTCTCAAGCCTCGAGAAAACTCTAGAGGGAAATTACTGAGTAGCATTTAGATTTATACCCTATGCATTTTCTTTGTTGTATTTATGTGCAGTTTAAACCAATTTACACAGTTAATGTTAACATAGCTCTGTGTTGATAATAGTTTACAACTCTTTGATAAATAGAAGTGGGTCTGGGGGATCTTTAATGGACGCCCCTCGTATTTCCCATTCCTACCTAAAACCCGGGCGATCAAGCAGAAAATCAGGGTGCCGATGACAAACGTCCAGTTCCAGTGATGTTTCCCAGCGACAGTGGAGACACCAAGGAAAATAAAGATGAGCGTCTCGCTGACGCTGCTCCACATCTTCAGGAAATATTTGATGGTTGTGTGGGATTTGTGAGAGATGTTGGCCTCCACATACGGGCGCATCACCACCCCGGCAGCAATGAGCCTGCAAAGGAAGACAAAATGCACTACAGAAAGCCACAGAAACCACAAAACAGATCATTAATTTATTTCTGCAAAGCTATAGAAATCCACATTCCTCAGCCCCCATTACCAACTGAGATTAGAACAGAAAGCAAAGGGCTAAAAGCTTCAGAGAAGATCACAGGATGGGTGCAGGCCAAAAGCACCTAAATATGCTTCCTGATAAGTTTTTATTATTATTGTATAATTGCTCTTGACTCCAGGAATGGATGAAGAAGACCTTTAGAAGCCCTAGGCACTTAAAAAAAGATTTTGATGTTTCCATTTATATCTACCGGTAATTGAAATAGAAACAATAATATATATATTTTAAAATTAATCAACACTAAAGAGGAAATATGTTTATTTTTGTATATTTCCACTGTATTTATACCTTATTTCTCCTACTTTTTCGAATTGCAAAATATTTTATTGTGGGAAACTTGGGCTGGATCGACATGGCCATATAATCCAGTTTCTAAATCCAGATTATCTGTGTTGAACTGGATTAAATCCTGCAAATCTCTTGCGAAGACAGGCAGACAAATGTCAACATGTTGAAAGAAGCAAAGACAACCAGTGTTGAAGCGATGCTCCAACGCCATCAACTTTGGGTTTTCGGACCGGCCACGTTGTCCGAAAGCCCAAAGATCACCATCTCCTAAAGCAGTTACACTACTCCCAACTCAAGAATGGGAAATGTAATGTTGGTGGACAAGAAAAGAGATTTAAAGATGACTTGAAAACTGTGGCATTGACACCGAGAACTGGGAAGCCGTGGCCCTTGAGCGCTCTAACTGGAGGTCAGCTGTGACCAGCAGTGCTGCAAAATTCAAAGAGGCACAAAGGGAGGGAGAAAGGGAGAAATGTGCAAAGAGGAAGGCATGTCAAGCCAACCCTGACCGGGACCACCTTCCACCTGGAAACCAATGTTGTCATTGTGGCAGAACATGCGGCTCAAGAATAGGGCTCCACAGCCACCTACAGACCGACCACCAAGATACTGCATTTGGAGAACCATCATCCTCGGACCACGAAGGATCACCTAAGTAAGTAATGACTCAATACTGTCATACAATCCACTTCAAAGCAGGTAGTATGGATTCAGAAATTGGATTATATGACAGTGTAGATGGTGCCTTGGTTAAACTGCACCATTCGGAGTCTAGACCATGCGGTTCACGATAAATCTGGCAAAGGAAAATGTCTGTGATGCTCTCCTTCCCTTGATGACCTAAGCATTGGTTTATCACACATGGAAATAGTGCAACCAGGTTACTAACTGGTGCTTCTTACAGAGAGCGGTCAACCCTCCTGTTTAAGGAGCTCCACTGACTGCCGTTCATTTTCCGGTCCCAATTCAAGGTGCAGGTTCTTACCTACAAAGCCCTGAACGGTTTGGGACCCGCCTACCTGCGTGATCGCATTTCTGTGTACGAACCCACACGATCACTTCGATCATCTGGAGAGGCCCTGCTCGCGCTCCCACCTCCTTCGCAGACACGATTGGTGGGGACGAGGCAGAGGGCCTTCTCGGTGGTGGCCCCCCAACTCTGGAACTCACTTCCCAAGGACATCAGACATGCCCCAACTCTGGCAGTCTTTAGGAGGAGCCTGAAAACGTGGTTGTTCCAGTGTGCCTTCCCAGAATAAGGAAAATTCCCAGCAATATGCCCTCAAAATGCACTTGATTTAGGACTGACTGCGTTTCCCTCATCTCGCTTTGAAAAACCCTATCCCAGTTATATCCTACCTTGTTCATGCCCAGCATTTTTTTTTAATTTTAAATTATTACATTTGGCCCGGCCATAGATTTTTAAATGCTTGTGTGTTACTGTTATTGTTTATTTTTTGTTTATGTGATTTATATTAATTGTTTTGTATTGATTGTTTTTGTTACTGCCTTTGTTTACTGATGTAAGCCGCACCGAGTCCCTTGGGGAGATGGTAGGTAAAGGTAAAGGTAGTCCCCTGACATTAAGTCCAGTCATGTCTGACTCTGGGGTGTGGTGCTCATCTCCATTTCTAAGCCGAAGAGCCAGCGTTGTCCGTAGACACCTCCAAGGTCATGTGGCCGGCATGACTGCATGAAGTGCCGTTACCTTCCCGCCGGAGTGGTACCTATTGATCTACTCACATTTGCATGTTTTCGAACTGCTAGGTTGGCAGAAGCTAGGGCTGACAGCGGAAGCTCACACCGCTCCCCGGAATTGAACCTGCGACCTTTCGATCAACAAGCTCAGCAGCTCAGTACTTTAATCCACTGAGCCACCGGGGGCTCCAAATAGATGGGGAGATGGTAGCGGGGTATAAATAAAGATTATTATTATTATTATTATTATTATTATTATTATTATTATTATTAAAGTTGGACTGGAGTTAGGAAGATCGAGATTCAAGCCTCCATTAAGCATGCCCTTAGGACAGTCCCTCATTCAGCCTAAACTACCTTGCAGGAGTATTTACATGAAGGATTACATACAGAGCTTTGCATGCCACTTTATAGCACAGAAAACGTGGGATATGAAGATGAGTACATAAAAAACAAAACAGAGAGCCAGCTTGGTGCACTGCTTTGCGTATTGGGGTATGACTTGACCATGAAACCACCTACATGACCTTGGTCAAATCAAATGAAATCGGGCATGGGCAAACTTTGGGAGCTGAAGTCCAAAACACCTGGAGGGCCGAAGTTTACCCATGCCTGCACTAAATCCTGATTCACTCTAAGTTACTAACTCTGACCTCTCACTCTTCATCCAAACTAAGGACAGAGGAAAGTCTCCATTTCATCCTCTGTGCTCAGCACAGAAACACAATTTCTGTCCTTCATTAAGAGCATGATATAGGGACTTATTCAGAAGATTGAGTACCAGTATTGCTTATTCAAAACGTTTGAGGCCAGAAGCCTACTGGATCCCCCCAGATTTTGGAATTTTGGCATCTGCAGAAAGAGTTGTCTTGGGAATGGGAGCCAAGTCTAAATGTTTATTTACTACTAGCCGCTCCCTGCCACGCGTTCCTGTGGCCCACTCTGGTGGTCATGGGGGTTCTGTGTGGGAGGTTTGGCCCAATTCTATTGTTGGTGGGATTCAGAATGCTCTGTGATTGTAGGTGAACTACAAATCCCAGCAACTAGATCTAGGGAAGTAATGCTACCCCTCTGTTCTGCTTTGGTTAGACCACACCTGGAATATTGTGTCCAATTCCGGGCACCACAATTCAAGAGAGATATTGACAAGCTGGAATGTGTCCAGAGAAGGGCGACTAAAATGATCAAGGGTCTGGAGAACAAGCCCTATGAGAAGCGGCTTAAGGAGCTGGGCATGTTTAGCCTGAAGAAGAGAAGGCTGAGAGGAGACATGATAGCCATGTATAAATGTGAGAGGAAGCCACAGGGAGGAGGGAGCAAGCTTGTTTTCTGCTTCCCTGGAGACTAGGACGCGGAACAATGGCTTCAAACTACAAGAAAGAGATTCCATCTGAACATGAGGAAGAACTTCCTGACTGTGAGAGCCGTTCAGCAGTGGAACTCTCTGCCCCGGAGTGTGGTGGAGGCTCCTTCTTTGGAAGCTTTTAAACAGAGGCTGGATGGCCATCTGTCAGGGTGATTTGAATGCAATATTCCTGCTTCTTGGCAGAGGGTTGGACTGGATGGCCCATGAGGTCTCTTCCAACTCTTTGTTTCTATGATTCTATGATTCTAACTACAACTCCCAAATGTCATGATTTTATTTTCCCCAAACTCCACCAGTGTTCACATTTGGGCATATTGAGTATTCGTGTAGAGTTTGGTCCAGATTGAGTCCAGAGTGCTCTCTGGATGTAGGTGAACTACAACTCCAAAACCAAAAGACACTGCCTATCAAACCCTTCCAGTATTTTCTGTTGGTCTTGGGAGAATTGTGTGCCAAGTTTGGTTCAATTCCATCGCTGGTGGAGTTCAGAATGCTCTTTGATTGTAGGTGAACTATAAATCCCAGCAACTACAACTCCCAAATGACAAAATCATTTTTTTTGGAGTGAAGGACATACATTGGGTTGTTAGGTATCATGTGTCCAAATTTGGTGTCAATTCATCCAGTGGTTTTTGAGTTCTGTTAATCCCACAAACGAACATTGCATTTTTATTTATATAGACTATCCGTCCCCTGCCACGCGTTGCTGTGGCCCACATGGGGATTCTGTGTGGGAGGTTTGGCCCAATTCTATCATTGGTGGAGTTCAGAATGCTCTGTGATTGTTGGTGAACTACAAATCCCAGCAACTACAACTCCCAAATGTCATGATTCTATTTCCCCAAGCTCCACCAGTGTTCACATTTGGGCATATTGAGTATTTGTGTAGAGTTTGGTCCAGATTGAGTCCACAGTGCTCTCTGGATGTAGGTGAACTACAACTCCAAAACCAAAAGACACTGCCTATCAAACCCTTCCAGTATTTTCTGTTGGTCTTGGGAGAACTGTGTGCCAAGTTTGGTTCAATTCCATCGCTGGTGGAGTTCAGAATGCTCTTTGATTGTAGGTGAACTATAAATCCCAGCAACTACAACTCCCAAATGACAAAATCATTTTTTTTGGAGTGAAGGACATACATTGGGTTGTTAGGTATCATGTGTCCAAATTTGGTGTCAATTCATCCAGTGGTTTTTGAGTTCTGTTAATCCCACAAACGAACATTGCATTTTTATTTATATAGACTATCCGTCCCCTGCCACGCGTTGCTGTGGCCCACATGGGGATTCTGTGTGGGAGGTTTGGCCCAATTCTATCATTGGTGGAGTTCAGAATGCTCTGTGATTGTTGGTGAACTACAAATCCCAGCAACTACAACTCCCAAATGTCATGATTCTATTTCCCCAAGCTCCACCAGTGTTCACATTTGGGCATATTGAGTATTTGTGTAGAGTTTGGTCCAGATTGAGTCCACAGTGCTCTCTGGATGTAGGTGAACTACAACTCCAAAACCAAAAGACACTGCCCA